CAATGTGGGGCTGGATCCCAACTGGGATCATGACCTGAGCCAAAGGCAGGCACTTAACCGACTGAGCCACCCAGGTGCCCCTAAAAATTTTTATTTTATTTTAATTAATTAGTTATTCAAAGATTTTATTTATTAGAGAGAGAGCGCTTGAGAGAGAGATCACGAGTAGGGGGAAGGGATAGAGGGAGAAGCAGACTCCCCACTGATCAGGGATCCTGATGTGGGACTCCATCCCAGGACCCTGGGATCATGACCTGAGCCAAAGGCAGGCACTTAACCGACTGAGCCACCCAGGTGCCCCTAAAAATTTTTATTTTATTTTAATTAATTAGTTATTCAAAGATTTTATTTATTAGAGAGAGAGCGCTTGAGAGAGAGATCACGAGTAGGGGGAAGGGATAGAGGGAGAAGCAGACTCCCCACTGATCAGGGATCCTGATGTGGGACTCCATCCCAGGACCCTGGGATCATGACCTGAGCCGAAGGCAGACGCTTAACGACTGAGCCACCCAGGCACCCCTAAAGATTTTATTTTTAAGTAGTCTCTATACCCAGTGTGGGGCTCAAAGTCAAGACCCCTAGATCAAGAGTCATATGCTCTTCCAACTGAGCCAGCCAGATGCTGCAATTTTCTATTTAATTTCTTACTGTTCATCGCTAGTATATACAGAGAAATTGATTTTTCACCTTTTTCTGTTGTGGTAAATTATACATAACATAAACTTTACCATTTAAAAATATACACTTCAGTGGCATTAAGTACATTCATGTTACTGTGCATCTGTCCTCACCATCCATCTGCAGAACTTTTTTCGTCTTCCCAAACTGAAACACCATCCTCATTAAACAGTAACTCTTCATTCTTTGCTACCTGCAACTCTTGGCAACCACCATTCTACTTTCTGTCTTGTTACTTGACTACTGTAGATACGTTATATAAGTGGAATCCTACAATATATGTCCTTTTGTGACTGACTTATTTCATTTTAGCAAAATGTCTTCAAGATTTACCCATGTTATAGCGTGTGTTGGAATTTCCTTTTTAAAGCCAGATAACATTCTTTTGTGTATATATACCACATTTTGTTTATCCATTAATCCATCAGTAGACACTTGGATTGTTTTCACCCTTGACTATTGTGAATAATACTGCTGTGAACATGGGTATACAAATGGCTATTCAAGTCCCTGCTTTCAGTTCTTTTGGGTTTATATCCAGAAGGGGAATTTGTTGGTCATATGGTAATTTTATGTTTAATTTTTTGAGGAACTGCAATATATCCTCTGGAGTTGCTGTACCATTTTACATTTCCACTAGCAATGCACTAAAGTTTCAGTTTCTCCACATCCTTACCCACACTTGTTATTTTCTTTCTTTTTTTTTTTTAAAGATTTTATTTATTTATTTGACAGAGAGAGAGAGTGGCAGGCAGAGGGAGAGTGAGAAGCAGGCTCCCCACTGAGCAGGGAGCCCGACGTGGGGCTCGATCCCAGGACCCTGGGATCATGACCTGAGCCGAAGGCAGACGCTTAACCGACTGAGCCATTCAGGAGCCCCGTTATTTTTGATTTTGTTGTGTTTTCAATAGTAACCATCCTAATGGATGTGAAGAGGTATCATTCTGGTTTCTATTTGCATCTTCCTAATGGTCAGTGATGTTGAGCATTCTTTTCAGGTGCTTATTGGAAATTTGTGTATGTTTTTTAGAGAAATGTCTATTCAAGTCCTTTCCTTGTTTTTTAATTGGATTTTGTTGTTGGTCTTTATTCTGGATACTGACTCCTTATATATATTATTTGAAAATATTTTCTCTCATACTGTGGGCTGTCATTTTACTCTGCTGATAGTGTCCTTTGGTGCACAAATGTTTTAAATTTGGATGAAGTCCAATTTATCTATTTTTTTTCTCTTGCTTGTGCTTTTTGTGTCCTATCCAAAAAATGATTGCCAAATGCAGTGTCATGAAGCTTTTGTCCTATGTTTCTTCTAAGAGTTTTAAAGTTTTATTTCATATATTTAGATCTTTGATCCATTTTAAGTTAATTTTTTTGTATATGGTGTTAGATAAAGGTCCAACTTAATTCTTTTGCATGTAGATATCTGGTTTCTCCAACAACAAAGCCTATTATTTTCTAATTGAGTGGTCTTGGTACTCTTGATGAAAATAATGTGATCCTATATCCACAGGATTATTTTTGGACTCTCTGTTCTACTCCATTAGTATATACATCTGTCTTTATGCCAGTATCACACTGTTTTGATTACTGTAGTTTTGTAGTAAACTTTGAAATTGGGAAGTGTGAGAGCTTTAACTTTTTCCTTTTCAAGATTGTTTTGGTTGTGTGGGGTCCCTTGAGATTCCATATGAACTTTAGGACCGATTTTTCTGTTTCTGCAAAAAATGTCATTGGGATTTTGATAGGGGTCGCACTGAATCTGTAGATCACTTTGGGTAGTATTGACCTCTTAACAATATTAAGTCTTCCAGTCTGTGAACACAGAATGTTTTTCCATTCGTCTGTGTCTTCTTTGCTTTCCTTCAGCCGCCTTTTTTAATTTTCAGTGTATAAGTCTTTTGACTTCTTGGTTTATTTCTATTTTATTCTTTTTGATGCTATTGTAAATGAAATTTTTTTTTTTAAGATTTATTTATTTTGAGAGAGAGAGAGAGTGGGGGTGAGTAGGGGCAGAGGGAGAGAGAGAATCTCAAGCAGACTTCCCGCTGAGTGTGGAGCCCAACATGGGGCTCGATCTCACAACCCTGAGATCATGACCTGAGCTGAAATCAGGAGTTGAAAGCTTAACTGACTGAGCCACCCAGGCATCTCTGGAATTGTTTTCTTAATTTCCCTTTTGGATTGTTCATTGTTAGTGTATAGAAATGCAATTGATTTTTCTGTGTTGACTTCATATCCTGCTACTTTGCTGAATTCATTTATTAGTCCTAAAGGTTTTTTTGTTTTTTTTTTTTGTAGACACTTTAGATTTTCTGCATATAAGATCATATCATCTAAAATATAATTTTACTTCTTTCCAAAATGGATGCCTTTTATTTCTCTTTCTTGGCTGATTACTCTGACTAGGACTTCCAGTACTATGTGGAATACAAGTAGCAAATGCAGGCATTTTTACCTTGTTTCTGATCTTAGAGGAAAAGCTTTCAGTCTTTCACTATTGAGTATGAGGTTCACTGTGGGTTTTTCCTAAATGGCTTTTATTATGTTTAGATTGTTTCCTTTTATTCCTAGTTTGTTGAGTGTTTTTATCATGAAAGGTATTGGATTTTGTCAAATGCTTTTTCTGTATCAGTTGAGATGATCATATGTTTTTTTCCTCCATTCTGTTAGTGTGTATTACATTTGATTTTTCATATTTTTTTAAAAAGATTTTATTTATTAATTTGAGAGAGAGGGAAAGAGAGAATGAGCAGGGGGAGAGGCAGAGGGAGAGGGAGAAGCAAACTCCCTGCTGACCCGGGAGCCCGATGTGGGGCTCAATCCCAGGACCTGGAGATCATGACCTGAGCCCAAAGGCAAGCGCTTAACCATCTGAGCCACCCAGGCTCCCCTGATTTTTCGTATGTTCAGTCATTCTTGCATTCCAGGAATAAATCTCACTTGGTCCTGGTGTACAGTCCTTTTAATATGCTGCTGAATTTGGTTTGCTAGTATTTTGTTGGTGATTATCTGCATTAGTGTTTTTAAGGGATATTGGTTTGTGGTTCTCTTGTCTTGTGTTGTCTGGCTTGGTATCAGGGTAATGTTGGCTTCATAGAATAACTTAGGAGAAATACAGTTGATTCTTGTATATTGCTCTTACACCTACAACCTTGCAAAACTGAATTATTAGTTCTACTTTTATGGCTACTGTATAGATACAGGTGGAACAGGGACCCACATCACTTGGCTATACAGCAAATACCTGGCTTCCAGGTTGGGGCTGAGGCAGATGATCACTGGTTACGGGGAGTTGTTATGGTATCAGAAGCTGAGTCCCCTTTTCCCTTTGAGGTTACCTAAGTCTCAGAAAACTTGACACTATGGGCAGGTGAACATGTGCTTAGACAAGGCATTCTCTTCTGAAAATGGTATGTCTTAGTTATATACAGATTAGATGGGGATGGGATTTCTCACTGAACTTAATAAAAAGTGTATTAATAACAACAGTGGTGGTGCTATTGATAATGAGCTTTCAAGGGACATTGAAGGATTGAAGCTAGGGAATAAAGGGAAACCAGGCCAGTGATATTTCATTGAAGACAAGGAAAAGAGTGTCCAAGATTTATATTCCTTTGTATAAATCTTGGGGTATATTTTATTTCTTAATAATAAATTCTGATTAGGGAGTTACTCTGAGTTTACTGTCTCCCATATTGCATAATTGCCTAAGGTGATCAAACCATCTGAAATCCTGAATCATCACTTAAGAATCTGAATTTTAAATACTGTTTCTTTTTTTTATATTTCTTTTTTTATTATTATGTTCAATTAGCCAGCATATAGTATATCATTAGTTTTTGATGTAGTGTTCAGTGATTCATTAGTTGTGTATAACACCCAGTGCTCACCACATGTGCCCTCCTTAATACCCATCATCGTGTTACCCCATCCCCCCACCCCTCTCCCCTCTGAAACCTTCAGTTTGTTTCTAAATCCTCTTTCTTTTTAACATCCTTAATATTGGTCCCTTCCTGATTATTATTTTCATCTAAACCTATACATGAAATTATATCAGTTTTATGGAGTTCCTTTACTTATTACAAAAACTTGAATGCATGTGATTAATTATAAACTGTATTTTTCCTGTTTTACTTGTTATATTTTTTGTGTTTATGACTTATTAATGTTTTTGGAGCTTGCACCCATTTAAAAACAGTTCTTGAAGTTCTTGAATGAAGCATCTCAGTAGAAACTGAAGATGGCTTTGTGGACAATATTGTTAGGACACCATGTCCTAAATGTACGTATCATAATTATGTTTTTTGAAAAATTTCTTACAGGCAAAATGTCAGCATTATAAGGAAAAACGAATAGAGCAACAAGAGACTATTGCTTCTTTGCAAAAGGATATCTATAGATTAACAAAGGAGGAAGAAGAGCGCATTGTCACTCAAAACAGAGTGTTTGCTTATCTCTGCAAAAGAGTTCCTCATACCATCTTGGATAGACAGTAATGTATCCTATATAAACTGATATGTAGCTAGATTCACTATCATTTTTTAAACAGATTTTATGCTTGGGAATGGTTATATCTCTTATAAACTGGAGGAGTCTTCTTCCCACTCTTCTCTACTGCCCCTCCCCGTCCCCTCCCAAAGGAAGAAACTGGTCATTTGGCCTGGAGAAGTTCATGCTAGATTTTGCTTCCTTACTGGGTCATTTAATTTATTCCTTTGTCTCCTCTATTTCTCTAAACTGGAAGTTAGAGCTAAACTCAGATACAAATATTTTTTGGCAAAATACTTCATAGGTGGTAATGTATGCTTCTAACTGTAACATATCAGGAGGCACATATTGTCTAGTTGACTTACTCTTAAGGATGCTAAGATTGTTCAGGGGGTTAAATAGTAATCTACTCCTTCCGCTATAAAATTCCCCATCATTCCTTCATCTAATGGTTGACCCAATTGATGATTTTGCAAGACGGTGAGTTTTCAGTTCTCTTGTCGTCCCCCCCCCACCCCTGAATTCTTCCATTAAAAAAAGCTTTTCCTATTGACTAGGGGCTGTTTGGTTGCCCTATGTGGTTTGTTACAGGGAAGGTAGAATTAATGCTCAGTTCTTTCATTTTAATTCCCACTCTTTAGAGTAAGGAGTTGATGCCCTTATGATTTCCAGTGATAAGCAATATGATTTTTTGTTTGTGGCTATCCTCTCTTTTTTCAAATGTTATTATTAACTCCTGGATTTTAATGATCATATTATTCTGTCTTTGGCCAATGGGAACTTCTTCATGTTGGTATTATACACTTTTGACCCAACCTCATTAATCTTTGTTAGATTTCTTACTTTTAGGCAGAAGGCATATTCTATACATTTTTTTTTTTTTGCCCCAGAGCTCTTTTGGGGATGAATTCAGATATTTGTTAAAGCTAACACTAAACATTTAGAATTAACTAAATTAAATTTAAGATTAATTAATTAGATATTTCTTTTAGTCCCGAATGGTTTTTAGAGACCACAGTTTGGTGTTGGGGTTGCTTGTCATGCTTATAATGTTTATTATGTTGTCATTGGTTTAGGACTTTTTAGAAGAGTACAAGGAATTATGTGTATTTCTGGAAAAAAACAAATCATTAATTTTTTTCCAGCTGAAGTTAACATTACAGGATTTTTATTTAAACTCTGATTCTATTGTAACTTTCCTTTTATACTAGAAATCCTTATTCCTAAGAACAACATTATATAACTATTTATTTGCTTTATTATATAACATATAAAAATAGCTTCAAAATAATACCATAATTACTGCTAACAATAAGTCTACTTTATGAAATTTAAATTTCTTTGCAATTATCTTTGACATTAATAATATATTATAGGATACAAATACAGTGTTCTAAAATATTTTGAAATATTTCTTTGTATGTTTGTGTCACCAAATTAATATACAGTTAGATATGTTTCAATTTGTTTTCAATGTTTAGGGATTGCTTTTTTATTTTCCATTTACTTTTTTTTTTTATTCTTATGTTAATCCCCATACATTACATCATTAGTTCTAGATGAAGTGTTCCATGATTCATTGTTTGTGCATAACACCCAG